AGCACTTGGGAGGCTGTAAATAGGAGAATCAGTACGAGTCTGATCTAGTAGTGAGACCCTGGACACCCTCTAGACCCTTCTCTAAAATACAGAAAAAAAAATAAATAAATGAAAAAGTGAAAAGCAGGTACAATGAAACTCCAGCTCAGGGCTGGAGTGTGGCTCAGTGATAGTGCTTGTTAAACATGTGTAGGGTTCTGGTTTGTACCCAGCTTTGTGGACAAACTAAGCCAAACCCCAGACCTCAATTTCTGCTAGCACTATGTTGTTTCAGACAGTTAACTTTCTGGATAGCTGTGGGTTTCACCCATTAAAATAAACAACATTTTTCTTTTAATCACTTTGGGTGGGATTCTGTGAAGTCTCCTCTCTCCCCTAAAAACAGCATGTTGGGACACAGGCAGTTACAGATGGACGTGGGGCAGGTCCTGCCTCAGTACCTCAACTCGCTGCGTGTGCAGCCTCACTGCCCAACTCATCCCTGCAGTCATGTTCCTTGAGGTATTCCCTCTCCCTGACTCATTTTTCTCACTATACCCTTTAACCATATGAATTATTATTTTGCTTAAATGAATATTTTAATGTATCCTTCCCAATATTAAAGCTTCATGAGAGCAGAGGTCTGACTGTTCCCTGATGTGACCACAGCCCTTGGAACAGGCACATGGCAGCATTTCATATCTCTGTTTTATCATTGAGGAATGAGTTAAGCCTTTTATCTTCAGAGTCTTTAAGCCTTTTATGCTTCTCTGGTCATAGCTCTGTCCTAGCTGGCCCTGTTGGGTATTCTGCTCTTATACTGTCACTGTTGTCATTGCTTCTCATGGTGAGTCTTCCACTGGTCTGCTCCAACCTTGACAGAAGTAGTATTCAATTCAATTCAAGTAGAGGTCAGACCCAGTTAGTTAGGTACACAGTGTGCAGTGATACTTATTGATTGGTACTTACTGATTAATTATATAAATGAATAGATTCACTGAAGGAATGATCACAGCTCTGTACTCTTTCTCATGGTCTGTAAAGCCGATGTTTCTGTGTTTGATTTACCTGTACCTAGCTGTGATTTAAAATCCAGCCTTTTCTGACTTGGAGACTCAACACTTGCCATATCAGGAGTTCCCATGCTTTTATGTACAGGGGCCTCTTTTTTCACTGTCACATTTCCTAAGCCTCACACACCATGTAGCACATGCAGCTCTTACTCATCTGACTGAGAAATTGTATATAAAAATGTAGTTTAATCAGCATGGTATGAGGAGACCTTGGCTATGCTTGTGCTGGCCACCCGCAGTCACCCTGCGGCTGCCCACGAGTGCCTATAGACTGCTGGGTCAGCATAGTTCTTCACTTTGCCCTTGGATGATTCTATGTCTCCTCCAAGGCTGGCCATTTTTGCTTTTGACAGAATAGCACCTGGCCAGCCCCTTCTTGACTTCTAATTTGCTACTTAGCAAATTTGAGGCAGCCCTAATTTTGCTGCCTCTGGTTTGAAGATGATTATGAAGCCTGCTAGAACTTGTAAGAATGAGGGAAAGGGGCAGGTGGGCTCTAGGCAATCTGCAGGAACCTCTACTCTGTGGATTTGTTCTGTCCTCTTTGGCTGCAGGCCCTGCAAGGCCAGGTTCTGGGCTCTCAGGGTGCCTGTGTTAAGTGCGGCCAGCACTCAGGGCTCACAGACAATGTGACTCAGTTCTGAGGTGGTGCGATATGGACATACAAAGGCTGAGGATACAAGGCAGATAGAGGTGGTGCAGGAGAGCTCAGACCTCTCAAGGGCATGGATAGCACAGAGGACTCAGCTTCGTGCTGGCCCTTTCCTGAGTCCTTCCTATTGATGTGTCCTTTTCCTGTCTGAGATATGCTGATTCCCACCTGTTCTAATACCAGGGGTTTAGGACAGTAGTTGAGAGATTGACCCAGGACCTCCACAACTAAGCTGTATCTCCACCCCTTTGTCACTGAGTTGTCCATGCTGGGCTTGAATTTGCTATCCTTCCTCCTCAGCCTCCCAGAGTATGGTTATAGATGTATACCACCATGGCCCACTAATACTGTGTTCTTCATGTGTGCATTTTTATTTTTTCCTTCCACTTTGCTAATTGCTGAATATATATATATATATATATATATATATATATATATATATCTCAGGTACAAATAAGATGTTTTGACAACTATAACTTTTCTACTACGGAGAGGTAGAAAGGTGAGGGTTTTTATTTTCCTGTTCTCTTACACAGATCACAACCTCCCAGAATACTATTAGCTCAGGAGTTTCTCAAGCATAGTTGAGGATACACCAAGCCCTACTTAGTATTTCTTAACCATTTGCCATCCTTAGTGTCCTTCTCTGTGATTTGATGGGAAAGCCAACCACAGCAGTGTACCAATCACCCTCTTCATGTCCACAAACAGAATTTAGATAATGCATTTTCAGGTCTGTGTCTATAGATGGAAACAACTATGGATTAAAAAGAATTGTGTCTATATTAAATATGTACAAACATTTTTTCTTGTCATTTCCTGAATAATAAAGGATAAATTATTTACATAGCATTTATACTGCTAGCTACTGTAAGTAATCTGGAGATGATTTAATTATATAAGACAATGTGTATAAGTTATATGCAAATATTTTGCCATTTTACATGAGGGACTTGAAAATCTAGATTTTGTTATTTGGGGGAGATCTTGGAGCCAATCTTCAATAGGTAATGAGGGGTGACTACATAGATAGATAGATAGATAGATAGATAGATAGATAGATAGATAGATAGATATAGTATGTGAAGGTACACTGACAATACATTGCTATATAAGGGTTAAGGAATTGTAATGGGGTTGGAGGTGTAGAATACATATTCAGCATGCATAAAGTACTGGTTTTACTCTCCAAAACCAAAAAAAGCAAAAACAAAAGTCATAATATAGTGGATCTGGGAATAGGATATGGACTTACACTGCCCAATAATAAACATTTGTTATTAATACTAACTTTTTTGGTTTTGTCATTTTTTAAGTAAATTAAGTGAATTCCTGAAGAGAAGGTACAAGGTAAGACAGTGTTTTACACAGTGTAACTCAAGTTATACTGCCGAATAATAAACATTTGTTACTAATTCTAACTTACTAGACTTTCAGTTTTGTCATTTTTAAAGTAAATTAAGTGAATTCCTAAAGAGAAGAGACAAGGTAGAGAGTGTTTTACACTCATGAGCATTAGAGCTTGTACAGGGTGAGCTAAAAATGTGTTCTGAGCCTCATGATCTTAAAATTCATGAATTGGCTAAGGGAAGTCATAGGCTTTGTAAGGAATTCTTTGGGAGATTCCTATAGTATTCCTCAGCATAGGCAGGAGACAGACAAGGAGCACATATTAATAGGAACAGTCCAGAGAGCACACAGAGGTTTTGAGGAGGTATACAGCACTGCTGAGTGTATGGTAGAAATATTGGCTCCCAGATCTTCACGTCTTCTGCAGACATGGAAGATAAATGACATTAAGGCTAGCATGGAGAATGGGGTAAGGGAGAAAAATTGTAGGTGGGGAGCATGAATTCTAATCAAGACCATCTTTATTTTTAATTGTTTCTATTTTTTAGGGAAGGGTCTACAGGGTGTTCAGGACTTCTAGTGATCCGCCTGTTTACAGCCTCCCAAGAGCTGGGATTATGGGCCTGCGCCACCTCAGCATACCCTGGGGGCAGGGCCAGCAAGGCAGGCCCGGGGATCAAACCCCCCCCCCCCGGGCCAGCCCAGTGCTTTAATCCGCTGTGCTATTTGGCTGGGCCTAAGACCAACTTTATTTGTACTTTTTGACATTTGTCATTTATTTGCTTGTTTATTACCTTTTTTGAGACAGGGTTGTATTATGTAGTTCAGGCTGGCCTTGAATTCACTTTGTAGCCCAGACTAATCTCAAACTTTCAGTGATCCTCCTGCCTCATCATCCCAAGTTCTGGGATTGAAGATGTCTGCAATCACATCCAGCTGTCCTGCATTTTTAAAATGTCTACCACTCTGTGCCCTCTATTCATTTTCTTCTTTTATACTCTCATAGTGTTTGAGGAAGTGTGTTTGCAGAATTGTCTATTGGATTTGTATATCTGACTTTATACTTTTGGAAAAATCAGTTGGGCAGCTCAGCGGATTAAAGCACCTGCAAGCAGGTGCAGGAGCCCGGGTTCGATCCCCAGGCCTGCCATGCCAGCCCCATCCCCGCCACCGGAGTGAACTGAGATGTCAATTGAGACTGGGTGTGGTAGGGCATGCCTGTAATCCCAGCTCTTGGGAGACTGTACACAGGTAGGTCACTACGAGTCTGATCTAGTAGTGAGACCCTGAACATCCTATAGACCCTTCCCTGAAATTAAAAAAAAAAAAGAAAGAAAGAAAGAAAGAAAGAAAGAAAGAAAAAGAAAAATCAATTGAGTTAGAAGATATGCATATCCAGAGGTTTTATATTTAAACTTTTCTCTGAATAGGAAGTAAATTGTTGATCTGAGTTGTAACTTGCAAGTTTTGTGTCCAGTAATGCAACTAAATAAAGGTGTGCTCCGTGCTTAGGCAATGCCGGGCAGTCTTGGTTTTTGGCCCACATATTTGTCCTTACTGTGCTGATGCAGTTCTGGCATGTACTTTAATTTTTATTTTTGGGAGTTTCTATACATGTTGCTACAGTCTCCCAAGTAAAACTATTTTCCAATCATCTTGCTATCTCTTTTTTGCCACTTGAAGAATGAAAGGAAGGAAAGTTAGATGTAATTTTGTGTCTGATGTAATTTTAGATTCTCATGAATTCAAAAATTCAAAAAAGCAAATAGGTCATTTTGAGTCTTCTCCTTAAAAATCAGTTCTCACTCCTGCTGTACAGCTCCATTCCAGTTGCCGCCACTCAGTCACTTACTCATTTCCTCCGCTCGCCATGACCTCCTTCAGCTACCGCCAGTCCTTGCATGCTTGGGGGGTGAGACTTGCTGGGGGAGGGGGATGCCTTTTGCATGCCCAGCATCCATGGTGACTCCAGGGGACTGCAGTGTGTCCATGTCCACCGTGCGCCTTGTGTCCTTGGGCTTAGGGGGCAGCTTCTCGGGTGGCTTTGCAGGCGGTATGGCTGGACACGCTGAGTGGGTGGCAATGAGAAGGTGACCATGCAGAACCTGAATGACCGTCTGGCCTCCTACCTGGACAAGGTACAGAAGCTGGAGGCAGCCAATGGTGACCCAGATAGAACTCAAGATCTGAGACTGGTACCAGAAGCAGGGACCCATCCCGGCCCGCAACCACAGCCACTACTACAAGACCATCCAGGACCTGCAGGACAATATTCTTGGAGTCACCACTGAGAATGCCAAGATCGTCCTGCAGATCAACAGTGACCATCTGGCAGCTGATGACTTCTGGACCAAGTTTGAGACAGAGCAGGCCCTGCACCTAAGCATGGAGGTTGACATCATCAGGTTGTACAAGGTGTTGGACAAGCTGACCCTGGCCAGGACTGATCTGGAGATGCAGATTGAGGGCCTGAAGGAGAAGCTGGCCTGCCTGAAAAAGAACCACAAAGGAAGTCAATGGCCTGTGGAGTCAGGTGGGTGGCCAGGTCAGCGTGGTGGTGGATTCCGCCCCAGGCACTGACCTTGCCAAGATCCTGAGAGGCATGAGGCGCCAATACGAGGTCATGGCGAAGAAGAACAGGAAGGATGCCGAAGCCTGGTTCACCAGCCAATCTGAGGAGCTGACCTGGGAGCTTGCTGGCCACACTGAGCAGCTCGAGATCTGCAGGTCTGAGGTCACTGCCTTGCCAGCCCCACCCCCAGGTACATGCTGCATGCTGCAGGGCCTGGAGATCGAGCTGCCTTCCCAGCTCAGCATGAAAGCTGCCCTGGAAGGCACCCTGGTGGAGACCGAGGTGCACTTCAGAACCCAGTCAGCACATATCCAGGTGCTGATCGGCAGTGTCGAGGCCTAGCTCAGCCATGTGCGTACAGACACAGAGTGCCAGAACCTGGAGTATCAGCAGCTCATGGGCATCAAGTTGCAGCTGGAGCAGGAGATTGACACCTACTGCAGCCTTCTTGAGGGCCAGGATGCCCACTACCACAACCTGCCTGAGGTCCTTTGAGTGGCTGGCCTCTGGAGTTGGGTCCTGGTCCTCCTGCAGAAAGCTGTTCCTGAGCACCCATGAGAATGTGCCTTTGACCACACCGTGTCTTTCTTGCCAGTAAAATTTGATGGCTGAGGGGGGGAATCAATTTTCTCTGTCTGAAAAGATCTGTCCCCCCAACCCTGTTATTTCTGATGTTCTCACTGAACTCTGTGCACACTCTCTTGGTGTTTAAACTGTTTACTAAAACAAACATTGATCTGTCAGCCCAAGGACTGTATCTCTGTGAGGGCAGAGTCCTCAGGGACTGGCAAGAAGGGCTTGGCATGTCATAAACATTTAGCAAATGTGTGGAACAAGGAAGTGACTAACAACTGAGTGAACATCTTGATGGCTCCTACCATGCACTATATTAGACACTGTTACTTCAGGGTCCTCTCACATGGACAAGTCTTAGCCAAATCTGAGTTCAGCAGACTTTTCTTATAGAGAGAGGGCCCTGTGCTGAGTCCTGAAGTACAAGCTGTTTTTGTTGTTGTTCCCTCTTAAGATTTGTATTTCCCTCTTCATTTTCTTCTACTGAATACCTCTACTCTACTGTGTCCTTTGGTTGTCCTATCTCTATGACCTTGAGCTTGCTTATTGACAGGAGCTTCCTGAGCTCCCTGATCACTCTGCACTTTGCTGTACCCAGAGCCATCTGCTTGCACCATCCCCAGTTAGTGCCCCATGAATGATCAGAGTGGATTTCCTTAACTAGCTGTGCAGGGCCAGTGTTCCTCCATGACTCTCAGCCCTTAAATTCAGAATTGGATTTTATGAGCATAAAAAGAGCTAAGCTCTCCATTGTGCTAGCTCAGTTCAGAAAGTAGAAACATAATACCAGATTGCAGCTTGCTGACATAAAATGAGAACAGAATGGTTTCTATTTCCATTTCATGGCCTGGGATTCTAGGTGTGGGAATAACCCATACATATTCTCTTCCTGTAGCCAAGCTTGTATGGCAAGCCAAATCATAATCAGATGCCTAATTGGCCAATGAGGAGTAAACACAAAAGGAAGTCTCGATGGCATCAGGTTAAGTTTGAAGTGCTCACTTCCTGGTCAGGCTTGCCAGTGAGAATGCCCAAGTGGCTTGGTGTCAACCACTTATATTCTTCCCCAGAATAGGGTTGGTTTTGTCAGCAAGGCCAAAAGCTTCTGTAACTAAGGAGCTTGTCTTCGGATTTGATTCTATGTTTATTGCATGGAGTGGCAAGGCCATTGCAATTTTCTTTTAATATGGGCCCTTTTCCACTTCGAAGTCTGACCACACCCTTTCTGGTTAACATCATTGCCCCATGATTTAATAGGTTCAATTCTATAAGCCTTGGAGCTGTTTCTCTACTATGGCTTTGTATATCTTGGCTTTTACAGCAGAAGTATTTTCCTCATTTCAAAGCCTCAGAATATCATCTCTTTTCCTCGAAGGCCTTTTATTCCTGGACTTAGAGGCAATCTATATTTCTTTATCCTGCTCCAAGATGCTTTGTCACCATCTGAGTTAGCTCTCTGTACCCTGAGAATAAGGACCCTGGGTCAGAAACCCCAGCCCGAGGCATTTTGTAAGTTTACTGAATTCCTAAGACCCACCCCTTTTTTTTTTTTTTTTAACATGGTTGCTTGGTGGTGTGGAGCACGTACAATTGAATTAAAAGTTCCCCAAACATTCCTCCTGTATGTGTATTAAAAACAATACTGATTTTAATCCATTTAATTGATGCTGACAGTCCACTGTGAGAGGCTACCCAGAGTTTAGGAAAAGCCATTCTCAATCTGGCCTGGATAACATTTCAGCCTTTGGAAGTCAGGGAGAGTGCACTCAGCTGTCCCAGCACTTTTGTATCCTGTGTCCCTGCTAGGCCAGTGCTGACAGCATCTCCTTTCTCTCAGTGAGGGATATAGAGGCTGCCGCCTGCCTCCCTGCATCCAGGCTCCCAGTGTAAAGCCTCTTACATCCTCGGCTCCCGGGAGGAAACAAACCTTCTGCTGTGCCCCAGCATCAATTTGTCACCCACTTCACTGGGCCCTGGGCCGCTGCTTCTCCTCTGTGTGTTGTCTTTTTTTCCTGGGGCTGCGCCAGCTGGGCTCTGGCCTGATACTAAAAGCACATGTTCTGGCCTCAGTGCCAGCATTATTCCCAAGGTTGAGTTGCACATCCCCAGTGCTCTGCCTTTCTGTTGCAAAGGTCTGCTCACAAATGTATGGGTTTTCCTCGGAGACTTGTGCAGCCTTTACAAGCCAGGTCAGACACTGATCTCCAGCCACTTTAAGAAAAATGGTGTGACTTTGCATTGTGTTTAGCACAGTCAGCGCACAACTCTTACGTTGCTTCAGTTACGTGAAGTGTCATTTTTTCCTGACACCAGGAGGAGTTTGGTGTTCCAAGCATGGATTATGTTGACTCATCATCAGGAGTCAGAGGGAAGCAAGAACACTTTGCACTATTTCCCTGAAACAGACTTGCATGCTGACTTTGCCTCCCCTTGTGTTTCTCTGAGTTCTGTTTTGCCTGTTTTTTCTCTTTCTGTAAAACTATAGAATTTCCCTTGTGTTCCCTTTTGGCTTCTACATGGCTCACTTGGCTTGTTATCCAGACTTATATTGAAGTGCATTGTGATTTGTGCTTGGGGAGCCTCAGCTGCATGGCTCCCTGAGAGGCATTATTTCTGTAAATGAGCTGTGTATCCTGTGTCCCTGCTAGGCCAGTGCTGACAGCATCTCCTTTCTCTCAGTGGTCTGGACATCATGGGATATCATTCTTTGTGGTAGAGGCTGTCTTGTCACTGTAGGACATTTAATGTCATTTCTGGCTTCTTCCCACTAGGTGCCAGTGAGGACCCTATCCTCAGCTGTGACAACCAAAAATATTCCCACATGTGACATGTCCCCTGGGGAGAGGAACACTTGGGAGTCACTGGTTTGACACAGTATGTCTTTCTGTGGCAACTTAACCAATAGGCTTATCTGTAGTTTTAGAAAAAGCTATTTGAAAGTGCCTTAGATGATTTTTTATTCTCTTAATGCACACATTTTTGGAAGACAGAGGAGAGCTGTGCACATTTGTGAGGGTTATTGTGTAGAGATGCCTTCTTCATCCGTATTTAAACAAAGAAGTAGAGTCCTTAAAGCTGCTGGCCAAAGGAAAAACATGGAGCCCTTGTTGGGGCAACAGGGAGCACTGCTATAAGTGTTGAGATGTTACAGCATTAGGGTTAAATGACTGGGCCTAGTGTGGGGTGTACACCCACCATCCCAGCCACCCAGGAATTTGAGGCAGGAGGATAGTGAGCTTGAGGGCACCATAGCAAGACACTACTCCAAAACAATTGAATAGGTAAAATCATGGAGATCTAAAAGGTAGAGGATGTGAGGTTTTTGTAGATCACTTTTAAGATAACTGCTAATCAGAAATGCACTTGATTTATTCCTCAACTTCTCCATCTGGCTCTCCCTTTCTCCCCCACTTCCTTGCTGTCATCTCTGCTTGCTCTGGCAGCTATCTGGGTAGACCTTTTACTTGTCTCTGTGATGAGTTTGGTGAGCTGTGAAGAGATATGCTCTCCTCTAGACCTGTGTCAGCACCTGCCAGAAGATCACTGTGATTGTGGCACTGGGCAGTGGTGAGCAGGAGCTGAACCTGTGTAGTGGTGGCCATGTTTGCTCCCTCCATTTCTGACCCCAGATCAGATATTTTCCTGGAATACCTGTGTCCAACTATCTATTGGACATTTCCCCTTAGAATACTAAAGCAACTCAAATGTAACATGCAAAATTGAATTGCTATTTTCTCCAAACCTGCTTTTCCTTAAATTTAGATGTCATCTTAGCCTGAATTTTATTATAAATTTATACATACATGCACAACACTCATCACAAGCCTTCCCCATGTAGTTCTAAATACAGTGATGTTTATTTTACCTCAGCTTTCCTCTTGTCCTTGTTCAGTTCTTGTACTTTGTCTGGGGCCTAGACCACTGCAGCTCTCTCTGAACTGATCTTTGTCCCTGGTTTCCAGTCAGACCTCACTGCCTGAGCATGGTTCTCTGACCCCTTCTTTAGAAAGGATGTCCTCATCCTCTTTATGGCCCAATTTCAAACCCTTTTCTCACCTAATCTCCCATCTCCAGGCCTTCAGAATCTGCTGCAATCACATGCTGTTCTGTTGCTGCAGAGTTGGTGATGAAAAAGCAAAACCTGTTCACAGTGGAGCTTGCTTTATGGGCTAGAGTGAGTTCCACAAGTCATGGTGCCCTTCATGCCTGTGCTGAGCATCCTCTCTAGCCTGGTGGATCCCTGTCCATAGTGAATCTGCCTACTAGTGTTTGCTGTGGTGCTCAGCATTGTAATCTCCAGTAGAGCTGCTTCCCTTTTGTGGATATGGACCTTGCATCATGGCCTCTTAGTTCTCCTCATTCAGGACCTAGCATGCCTGGCTCTGTGTTCCCATACCCATAAGAGTGCTCAGTGCAGAGTAGATGCTTAGTGTCTATTGAATGAGAGGCAAATAAGCATGGGCACATTCAGAGGTCAGGGACCCTCAGAAGTGCCATGTGTTTTCTTTCTTTCTTTGTTCATGTTCTTTTCCCTGCAAGATAGTCTGCCTGTATACCCCACTGCCACTTAGCTACTTGACCCATTATCTAAAAGGACTCTATAAGCTGGCCAGGTTTTTGTGCATGCAACTTAATGATTGAGCACAGTTAAGCATATGTATTAAAACTGAAAAGTGAATAAGCAAATTTAAAACCTGTTCAAATAGGTTCTAACTCAATTTTGTTAGTACAAGTTGTCATAGGTATTTTACTGAAAACAGTCAACATAGACTCACCTCAGGATGAACTTGGGAGGCAGCCTCAGCAATAAGATGGTCCTTCCATCCTGCGTGCTGCCTCATGGTGACAGTGATGTCCTCAGCTGGTGTGCCAAATACTTGGCATTGTTGGCATTGTGCTAGTGAAGTGGGTGTTAGCCTGTC